TTTTTTTTTAAATATAATTCCAGAGATTTTAAGCTACCCCCCCTTAAAAAAGTTATATGTTTCAAGCAATTGTAAAATTTTTGTATTATTTAATAAAACGACATTGTCCGGATATTTTATACTGAAAATAATCCCTTTAAATTTGATTCGGGGAAGGTACGTCTTCTTTAGGCGAGAAGTTTTAAACGACTGGTTAAAATTGTGTTAATCTATTACTGTATCTATAGTTATCAATTTTAAACCATGAATCCCTCCCAAATATTTATCTTAAATATAAAAAAGGTATCCATGTAAATCGTATTAATATTAAAAATAAGGACAATTACTAAATAAATATAAAACACATTTAATAGATTTCTTTTTGCTGCAGGTAGTTTATTTATTTTATCAAAATTTAATAGAAATTAGAGAAATTTTGTTAAAACAATTCGGTGTAAACAAATATTTTTATATCAAAGGTCGCACGTGTTCAATGTTAGACCTAAGGGGGGCAAAACTTAGGCATGTCTAACTTTAGGCAGCCTTACATTATCGGCATTAGGTTCGTATTAACGATTGCGCAGTGGCGCCTAACATAGGCGTGCCACACATGTTCCACACAAAAATTTCATGAGGTAATATCTGAACATGTCTTATCTTGGCTAATTCAATGGGGGCTTTATGAGGTAACAATTAGGTTTCCCAAAAAATTTGATAGGGCATTCGTTATGCGTGCCTCATTTTGGCCAACCTAATGGGGGTCTCTTAAAGTAATAATTAGGCTTTCCATATTTTGGTTTGCCTCACTGTTTCCTAATTGGGTCCGCATTCGTATTTAGGAATGTCTAAATAGAATTCTAGTCGGGTAGGCTCTACCCGCTTAGCAATTTTGTACATTATTTCGTTGAAAACAATATTAAAGAAGAGTTAATAAGTTTGTTAACATTAACAACAACAACAAAAGGATTAGACATTTGTAATGCAATTATAGATGCAGTGGAAAAAAGAGAAATATGTTCTCTTCTAAAATTGTGTCAGTTACAACTGACGGGGCCCGCAGCTTAACTGGACGGGAAAATGGATTTATAAATTTATTTACAAAACGTATTGGACACACAATTCTTGATTTTCATTGCATTATTCACCTACTAGCGTTATGTGCCAAAACAGGTTTAAAAATGTTTGATGATATTTTGAGTTTTGTAACAAAATTAGTCAATTTTATATCAGCGCGAGCACTAAATAAAAAAAATTTCAAGAATTGCTAAACGAAGTAAACTCGTTGTACAATAGTTTACATTTATACAAAAATGTACGCTGATTAAGCAGCGGAAATGTTTTGCAAAGATTTGTAGATTGTTTGGAGGAAATAAGAGTATTCCTGAATAATGAGAACATTATTGACTAATACAATCAATTATTGGATGCAGAATGGCTAGCAAAATTATACTTTTCACTGATTTATGCTCTCACTTAAACGAATTAAATATAAAATTACAAGGTGTTTTAAAACAGTCATTATAATGTTTGACTTAATCAAAGCGTTCGAAGTCAAATTACAGATTTTTAATCGTGATATTCTTTCAAATTCATATATAAATATTTTCCGAATACAACTTACGATGATTTACAATAAATAATGTAAAATTAGGATTAATTACGAATTCAATAAACCACTTTAACTTACGCGGGTCATCGCATAGCAGTCCGAAACGGCATATAGCAGGCAGACACATCGCAACAACATGAAACAAAAATAGCGAAGTTACTGTTTTGCATAAAGAAAAAGGGGTAAATGGTAACTCACCGGGGGAATTGCATTCCCCATGCAATCCTTTAATAAAAAGCCCATCTTTCCGTATCAGATATATATTTAACAAACCATAATCTTCAGAAATGTACATTTCCACCTGAAACGAGTAGAGGCTCCCCTGGACGCCCGACTACCGCGCTAGTAGTCAGCATCCCAATGATTTGGTGTGAGAACACCAAATCATTTCATCCGGGCGCATGTAGGGCCCCTCACCTACATGTCTCTGCTCCGGAGGAACCACATCCCCAGAGAGGACGGGATTTGCGCGCCGGGGGCTTGCAGCACACAGATGCATAAAGTACCACACAGGTAAACAACATAATCGCATCACACAGATGCATAAAGTACCACACAGGTAAACAACATAATCGCATCACACAGATGCATAAATTACCACACAGGTAAAACAAAGCAATTGCACCACACAGGTGCTAAATAGAAGTGTACACTTAAAGCATGTGCAAAACAGTTTTGCACACAGGTCTGGCCAAAACAATACTGACCCAAAATAAGACAAAATATATCCGTGCCTGCCCGGCTACTCACCTTCATGAAAAAAAAGGTCATATTTCAAATCATAACACCGACAAACGGATAAATTACGATAAATAATTTTCTAACAATTTTACTTGAAATGTACCCTTAACAATAGACACGCACAATTATGAATTATTGCAAAATCTAAAGAAAAAAACAACCTGTTGAAGATAATTTTTTTATTATTAACAGAGATTACAATCATAACACCGACAAACGGATAAATTACAATAAATAATTTTCTAACAATCTTACTTGAAATGTACCCTTAACAATAGACACGCACAATTATGAATTATTGCAAAATGTAAAGAAAAGAACAATCTGTTGAAGATAATTTTTTTTATTATTAACAGAGATTACAATCATACTTATATACAAATATACCCTTAACAATAAACACATACAATAATAAGAAAAGAAATTAGCCCAATGTGTAAAAAACATTTCTTTTATTATTATTATATACATTGTAATTATTTGTCATAAACCACCGTAAATAATTTATTGTAAATCACTATGCAGACACTCAGTGGATTAATCTTGCATCAGAAATTACACCCCAGAAATGTTTACCGGTACCAGTTGATTTCTCGTGGAATATAAATTATTATCTATTGTTAATAATAGCAATTCTTTCTGCTAAAATTGTCACTCTCATTATTTGTAATTTGTATACATTATTCATTAAGTACCGTGGGACAATAGAATTATACGCAAATTCTTAAAAGTAATAACACACACGCACTGTTATGTGCTTATCTATATAGCATATAAAATGTATATTATATAGCACATTGTTTAGAGGTCGGCTTCAAGAAATATGTAATACATAACAAGGTTGAAAATACTAATGATAGTGAATTAGGAACCAGAATGTTCTAGAAGAAAGTAAAAAAAATAAATATATATAAAAAATACTAATATCAATTAGTAATCAGGAATGTTCTAGAAAAAAATAAGTAAAAACAAAGGAGTGTATGTTGAAATTTTAAGTATAAATAGGACAAGCGATGTTTTTTTTTGTTATTACAATAGTTGTACGTAGTAGGTACTGTGTGCGTATGTGTGTTTCTGCACTCTTTTCTTATTGTGCTATTGAACAAGTACTATAATTAGTTTTTTAATTATGTCATCATCATCATCTAATGAAGGTAATGCTTCTTTGGAATTTATCAACAAGGTCGGGTTATGTGAACTAGCGAAACCAATTCTACATGTAAAAGATATGGTTATAGATAAACCATATCCAATTGTATGCTTGTTACGAAAAAAAACTCGTCACGGTGAGGTCATTGTTGCTGAAACTGAAGATAATATCATATATTTACCTAAGCGATTGAATGAAGCTTTCACTGATGATCGATTTGAGGAAATGCACAAATTG